TATAGAGAGAGAGAGAGAGAGAGAGAGAGAGACATAGATAAGTTTGATTTGGGAATAAAGACCATTGATTATTGTGAGAAATGTATTAATGTTTATTAGTCAGTTCAAATTTTACAGTAATAAATGTATTAAGATAAATTTGTGTAGGATATTTGTGTATACAATGATGATATTTTTATTCAATGATGCATTAATCAGTTCAAAATTTTATTAGTCAATTCGTTGTAGTAAGAGGCTGGTTAATATTGTGTATAAAATGATGATATTTTTATTGTATATGATATTTTTTATCATTATAACATTTTCCCCACGTTTTACATGTTGAGGTTGAAAATAAGAGTTGGTGAAGTATTGATTTATTGTAGAGAGTGAATTTCTAACAATTTTTATATTTGTAATTTTGGTTATACGGGACGATTTTTCTTCATCATTATTTATTATGGTATATTATTAATTTTAGAGAGTAATATCAAAATCAGTTTTATTTACTAAATACATAATATCAATAAAGTATTAAGAATAATATCTGAAATATCATTTGAGAATCAATTTTCAATTTAATTTAATGAAGTTTAATTGATTATTGGGTGTATTTATTATTAAAAACAAATGAATTAAAGGTGGATATAAAGTAGAAACAAAATTGTAACGGTTTTGTATTAATGAAATTTGATAAAGAAACAAAAAAAAGTCAAAGGTAACGGATTTAAGCGGGAAAATGATTGAGGTTTTATTAAATATTTTTTTAATGCATCTGCCAGCAATTATATAGATATATAGATTAGTATTAGAGAGATTATACGGTCCTGTTACGGAACTATTCCGTTGGGATTTGTAACTGTTAGATCAACTATCCTTGACAGTTACATGATGATCTAACGGTTGTAAATTCTAACGGAACGGTTCCATAACGAGAGTATAGAATTTCCCTATATTATGATATAATTACGCAATAGTGTCCCGCAAAAATAATTAAAATAAAACTACGAGTAACATTTAAGACTGATTATTGTTAAAAGCTCCACACTAAGTATTGTGCCATAATTTGTAGCCACGTCTCAAATAATTTTGAAAGCATTTTAGGGGGAAATTTATAAATAAATATTCCTATGTTGAAAATAAATATAATGATCACTTGTCACACTTTTTCTTAACAACTAGTACAGAGTTCGTGCGATGCACGGGATGCACAATTTTAAGAGTATTTATCAAGCCTTATAATTATATAAATGAATAAAGAAAAATATACGGAATATATATAGTACGTGACCTGTGCGAGGCACGAGATATATTATTTGGGAATTATTATACTATAAGATGCAATATTCAATAAAAGTTTTACAATACACGAAAATAAATATAAATAATATAAATATCTAAATAAAATACACGATGTGTAGAATAACTAAACTAAATTGCAAATCTGAAAATATAATTTTAAAAAAAATCAAAAATATATTTCACTAAACATTTACAAAAATATCTAAATACAGACCCGAAAATAAAATTAAAAAAAAAAAATATACGTTTCAAATTTCGAAATTAAAACAAAAATTCAAATAATCTGGCTTACAGTGTTATCATGCAGAACCAACTCGATATATGATTTGTATGTGCTGCCCCAATCTTGGAAAAACATTCTCACAATTTAAATTTTGAACATAGGTCTATTTAGACCTATTGACTTGTTTGATTAACTCAAATCCTTGATTCATTGTTTTGAATAAAAGACTGATTTGAGATATTTTTTGTTCGCAGGAGGTTGATAGTGAGGAAGATGATGACTCGATATTTTGAGATTTGTAATTTATAATGGGTAGAGTAGATATATATTGTTGTTAATATATATTTTTATTATAAAATCTGAATTTGAATATACAAAAATCGGTTTGAACAAAATCATAACTGATTTCTATACAATTAGATAATAAATAAAGCCTTTTTTATTTTAGTAAAGATTTTACGTACTTTTTTTACTTATCGGATGTTATGGGGTTTTTTTTATTAAACCGATTTTATGGGATATAATACAAATACAATTAGAGAATTGAACAAAATCAAATTAGATTTCCATACAATTAGATAATAAGAAGGAATTAGATAAGGAAAAGAAGAAATTAAATAAGAAATTTTGAATCTGCCTTTTTTTTTAGTATAGATAGACTTTACGTAAAAATTTTGACTTCACCGATTTTATGGGATTTGCTTTGGCAAAATCGATGTTATTATGGAATAAGACAAATAAATAAAGCCTTTTTTATTTTAGTAAAGATTTTACGTCCTTTTTTTTACTTATCAAATGTTATGAGATTTTTTTTTTAAACTGATTTTATGGGATATAAGACAAATAAATAAAATAATTAAATAAAATTCTGGATAGAAATAACAATGCATTAATTACGTTGACTTTTTAACCTACTAAATTTGGTAAATAGGATACCTTATTATATAAGTATAGATTTTGATTATTTTTTCTCACCCGATTTTATAGGATTTTTTATGTCAAGATAAGAAGGATTAATTAGAAGTTCAACATAAATTTATAAGGACTTTTTTATGGGATTTACGTGCAAAATTTTTTATGTTAAGATTTATAAGAAGGATTTTTTATGTCAGCATAAATTATAAATGCATTAATTACTACTTGATAAAATTAAAAGTTAATTAATTAAATTTGACTTTTCTACCTACTATATTTAGTAAATAGGATCCCCTTTAATATAAGTATAGATAAAATAAATGTATTATATTTATCTTATATATATATAATTCACCAAATTAACCATTATATGGGTCGTTGGACCAAAAAAATATCTAAAACTATCCGTTCTAATAATTTAGTCCTTTGTGATTTAGCTTCTGGTTTGAATCGTGTAATTAACCGAGAATTTGGATTAATTAAGTGGTAATTAAGACCAGAGCTAATTATGAGGAGTATTATTATTATCTACCAAACTGGGATATTGTGCAGCGATCTAAGGCAAATACTTAGGTGTGTCTTGGCACACCTTGTTAGGTGTGCCAGGGCCTTTTGTAAAATATACCCCTCTCAAAAGCGGTGAGGTAAGGAGGTAAGATATATTTTTTTTAAATGGGACATGTGTCTCATTTCTATTGGGTAATGAAATTCATATATCATATTATATAAATTAAATTATCATTCATATTTTGTATCAAAAAATAAAAATAAAAATACCAAAATTCATAATTTTTCATTCTTTACAAATAGAGACCACATTTGATATTTTTTGGAACACAATTAATTTATTATTTTTATAATTAATTTATCTTATTGGAAGATTATGACATAAATCTATAATTAGATGAATATGTTACATAGTAAGATGAACATGTTATAGAGTAAGATGAACATGTCATAGAATAAGATGAAAATGTTACATTCACAGATGAAATTTAGATGAACGTGTTCTAAAATAAGATGAACGTGTTACATAATAAAATGAACATGTTATAGAATAAGATGAACATGTTACATAATAAAATGAACATGTCATAGAATATGATGAACATGTTACATACACAATAAGGTGAATATGTTACATAATAAAAGAACATGTTATAGAATAAGATGAACACGTTATAGGATAAGATGAACATGTTACATACACAATAAAGTGAACATGTTACGTAATAAAATAAACATGTTATAGAATAAGATGAACATGTTACACACATAATAAGGTGAAATATTATAAAATGAGATGAATATGTATTATTTCAATCTGCAATCTGTAACATGTTCATCATAGTTGAAAACATATTCATTTTAATATGTAACATGTTCGTTATATGTCAGTAAAATAAAATAATTACGAAAAAACAAAAAATTAGTTGTGTTCAAAAACCTATCAAATGTGGTCTCTATTTATAGATAATGAAAAATTATGAATTTTGGTATTTCTATTTTATTTTTTTAATATAAATAATTAATGATATTTTAATTTATGTAATATGTCTCATTTTTCAATTAAAAAAGGAAAAATATGAATGTGCACTACATTATCCAAATTTTCTTGTTTTTGGGGTGAGTGAGGCGCGTGCAAAACTGCTCTGGCACACCTAGCCACACGGTAGTGCTACTGGCGATCTAAATAAAATCAAGGAAAATTGACATTATTACTCATTAATTTCCATTATTTGGACACATAATTAAGCTGGCCTCAATTGAAAATGAAATTTTCTTTAAACCAAAGCTGAAGAATCCAGAGTCGTCGACATTGGATGGAAGGTTACCAACATAAGAAAATAATGTATCACTATAATTGTGTTTAAAGTTTAATTTAAAGTAATATGAATCAACACAAAGTGTAATTTTATTTTCCAACATGAAACTCATGAAACTTGAGTTGGGGCGTACTCAATGTTTGAGATAGATAATTAGGGTGTGATTGTACATATATTATCTCAATTCACACTCAAAATCTAATTCAACTCTACTATCTTCAATATATCAATATAATTAAATAATATCAATCAATAAAATCTTAGTCATCCTAGAAAGCCCAAATAAAAAAATTTCCTCTCTCTCTTTTTTTTTTTTTTTTCCTTTGCCGCCACCCCACTCCATTCTCCTCCTTCAACCCCAGTCGTGGCCCCCCTTCTCCCACCGGCAACCCATAGTCCCAGTTGTCACCCCTGTATTTGGCCGTCTTGAGGCAGAGGCCCTCGCGCCGTCCGTGGGCGCCGTCTCCGGTCACGACCGTGAGCAGGAGAGGGTCAGTGGTGCTCGAGCCGAGTAACCCTCTCTTGAGTCGAATTTTGTGCTGCAGTCTTGTCCTGCATTCTCTGTCTCATTCGGGCCATTTCTGGTTTCCTGGTCGTAGTTATGGTGTCTTCTCCACGCTGGTGGCCTCCTGTCGGGCCTCCTCGGGCTGAGCAAGTTTGGTCCAGACGTTGCCTCAGAGTCGATCCCCTTGGGCCCTTTTCTCCCTCGACTAGTAAATTATGGGTCTTCTAATTTGGATTGAGGCTTGTCTTTTCGTCGGTTCTATCCAGCCACTTTCGTGGAGCTTTTAGTTTTGGGCTTCATTTCTGTCGCATTTTAGGTCCTATTTGTGGATTTGTTGTTTTGGGTTTCTGGCTTGGTGCTAATCTGAGTTTTGATGTGGTTGCTTGTGTTCAATGGGGAGGTAGTAGTTTGTAGTTAGTTTAGGCGTGTGTTAGTTTTAATGTGTGTTTTTCCACTTGTTTGGAGTATTTAGCGATTTGTTATTTTGTTTGGATTTGGCTCCAGCATACCGGTCTCAGTCGCTTCTTGTCACTCTCGATTGACTGGATCCAATTCTAATTGGCGGGGCAATTCCGCCAAATTTAGAAGAACCCGCTGTGGAAATCCAATTTTCGATTTCGTATTGGTCACCAAAAAATATCCATAAAATATTATAAATAAATTACAATGTAATTAGTTAAGTTGAAAATAGAGAAATAGAGATATAAGCGGGTCGGGTTAGGTTCAACTTAGCCCAAGGTGGGTGGGCTAGGTGAAGGGAGATTTCGAGTTGGCTGGCCAAGTCTGGGTTCGGAATTGCCCCGCCATGCAGACCTTACTTATTGCCCTCCCTAGCTATTCGAGGTGAATATATAAACATTAAATTAGAGGCGTATGCATGTGTTATGATAAAATTATAAAATTAATAATTTGGTTAACATTTAAAATTTGTTTTATGTTTACCAAAATTAGGAAAATTTGCACTATTCGTCCACTAACTATACACCCGTTGCACTTTCGTCTTTTAATTGTTTCCAGTTTACAATTGGTACACTAACTTTTTTTTTTTTTTGTAATTTTAGTCCAAATGACATTCCGGTGCTCATTTTCGCTGGAATAGCTTATGTGACGTCCAATCAGATCGGAATTCCATTCTCGGCGTGATGTGGCATGATGTGGTGCCTAGTCAGATCGGAAAAATTGCACTATTCGTCCACTAACTTTACATTCGTTGCAATTTGGTCCTTTAATTATTTTCGATTTATAAAATCAAAAGAAAAAAATATTAAGAAAATCAAAAGAAAAAGAAAAAGCTTTAAAAAGAAAAATAAAAAACATGTGGATAAAAAAAAATTAACAAAAAAAAGAATATTAATTAATAAAAAAGTCATTTTGTTTAATGATTTTAAACAAAATAAAAAAAAATCTTTTTTTAAAATAAAAATACATTTTTTATTTAATTAAAAACGAAATAATTAATAAAAAACAAAATGAAAAACAGAATAAATGTTTGATGAGAAATGAATATTTTTTATTTAATAGTTAAATATTTATAAAAAAAAGAGATTTTTATCATTTTTTTTGTTTAATGAATTTTTTTATTTAAATAAAAAATTAAAAAATATTTAATAAAAAAGAAATATAAAACGAAATAAATATTTTCATGCGTAATAAATATTTAATAAATATTTTTTACTAATGGTTAAATATTTAATGACAAATTAAATATTTAATAAAAAGAATATTTTTCATTTTTGTTAAATATTTCGTTTGTGTATTAAATACTTAATCATTAAATAAAAAATATTTATCACTCATTATAAATTTATTTCGTTTTTATTAAATATTTCATTTTTTATTTAATCCTTAAATATTTCATTTTTATTAAATTAAAAAATTATATTTTTTTTCTTTTTCTTTTGATTTTTTTCTTTTTCTTTTTAAAGCTTTTTATTTTTCGTTTGATTTTTTTAATATTTTTTTTCTGATTTTGTAAACAGGAAACAATTAATGGACGGAAGTGCAACGAATGTAAAGTTAGTGGACGAATAGTGCAAAATTTTCGATCTGACTAGACGCCACCTCGTGCCACATCACGCCGAGAATGGAAATTCCGATCTGACTGGGCGCCACATCAGCTATTCTGGTAAAAATGAGCACCGGAATTTAATTTTGGACTAAAATTACCAAAAAAAATTAGTGTACCAATTGTAAACCGGAAACAATTAAAGGACGAAAGTGCAACGAGGGTATAGTTAGTGGACGAATAGTGCAATTTTTCCCCAAAATTATTATCAACATGAATTACGAAAAATTAAATTGTAGTTTATTATATATATATATATATAACTAGAACAATACTCGTATATTACACGACTGCTTGGTTGTTAAGAAATTTATATTTAAAATAACAAATAATAAAAAAAAAATTATTTTAATTGTCAAATACTTTCTTGAATAAGTATATTACTTTTTATATATAAAATAAAATATTTCACTTTAATCACTTATACGGGTTAATATCTTATATTATTATTTTTTAATATTATATCATTCAGCAATTTTGTTGTTAAATTGATTTTAAAAATTTATTTTTTAATTAATATTAATAGGTAGTTTATTTTTTATTATAAAGATAAATATAATTATTTAATTATTTTATATGTGCAATATAGGTGTCAAGTCGAATTTCATCAAGACATGATTAATTTTATATATTATGTATAAAAAATTGATAATAAGTAAAGAAATTATTAACTTTTATATTTACTTATAATTAAGTTAGTAATAATTTCATAATTTTAAAAGAAAGATTGAGAAAAAAAATAAATTATTCCTTATAAATCATGTCTAGAATAGAAAATATATTAATGCTCTTAAAAAGAATAGGAAATATATTAATGCTCTTAAAAAGACCATAAAATATCTAGAATAGTTATGGCTATTCAAAATTTAATTATTTTTTGGATTGAGTATAAATTAAAATTCATCTAACTCAAATAACAAAGCATGAAAAATTGTCACATAGGATCCCAAAACATGCGACTCTGCCTCTTAGGCTCAGTACATTCAACAATTATATATAGGGGAATTTTATGAATTCTATACGTTAAATAATTAAATATAATATTTAAAGAAATAAATATAAACTAAAAATGTAATAACAAATAAACTTAAAATAGTTTTACCTTAAAAAGTATCACCACTAAATGAATGATATTTCATGCATTAAAAACTTTAATAAAAAGGTAAATTGATTAATTAAACTTTCGGTTCAACCAAACGAATTGTGAAACGTTAAGAAAAATAATATAATTAGAAAAAAAAAACATATACTTCTATGTACATTATTTGTACATAGATATAATATTTAAAGTCATAAAACAAACTCATGAAATGTAAAATTCATATATAAAAATAAAATAGTTAAATATGTATCTTTGAAAATAATGAAAAGAAAAAAAAATAAATGAAAAGAAAGAAGAATTATTCTGTAAATCCTCTTTGTACTCTGTAAATCCTCTTTTGAGTTGCTATATAATTATTCTTTTCGTTGCGAAAAAAAAAGAAAATAAATGAAAAGAAAGAAAAAAATATATAAAAATAATAAAACATACTATTAACTAAGACCTTTAAGATATTTTTAGACTTTTAAAAGTGTCGAGGTGTATAATTTGAGACTCTAAAAAGTTTTACAAAATTATGATTTTTTTTTTTTGAGAACTTTGTAATATTTATTGAGATTTCAGAATAAAAAAAAAATGTGAAATCTCACTCTAAATCGCATTCTCAAACCTATCATAAGATTTCTTCTGAGTATGAAAATATTCAAAATTCTTAAATTTTTAAAAAAAATAATCAAAATATTGCTTAAAATCTAAAATGAACACACTTCTAATTTATATGAGAAATGTTACAGATACATAATACTATACAGAGGTACATTTATATTTACTTGGCATTTTTTTTGTAACATAGACAAGACATGCTACACAAATCACCTCTATATATAATTTTCGAATGCGTTGAGCCTACGTGGTTGTTTCTGGTGCTTCAAAATCCTACTTGGCGAAGAATCATGCTTCGTTTGGACAAATAATATTGATATATTAATAATTAATAATCTAGTTTCGAACATTCCATAAATATTATTTAGTTAACCTAGGTATTTTAATATCACTTGTACTAATATAACCCTTTAATTCTTTGTAATTTTTGACACTAAGTGACTAATATATCCCTGACTTCTGATTTGCTTCCTACAATTAACTATTGAATTGTAATTGTATTTTAAAAGTTGATAACTTTTCTATTTCTTATCGGTTTTACATATATAATATATCAAATTAATCATCTTTTGACGATCTTCGATTTGACATCCATATTGTATATATAAAATAAATAAATTATATTTATCTTTATAATAGTAAAAAATAATAATATTTACTAAAATTCATTAGAAAAATAAAATTATTTCTCTATTGATATATTTATTTATGTTTACTGTAGTTATATGTTGTAAGTTATAAAATTATTATAATATAACACAAGTAAGTCGCACAAATAAAAAATGTCATACTAAATATATAGTGATATATATAGTTTTTTATAAAAGGTATTTAAATTTTCATCTACATTTTCTCATTAATTTTAGATTTTAAGAAAAAAATTAGCAAGCACCCGTGTAATACACGAGCGTTGTACTAGTTTTTTTTTTTTTTTTTTT